CCGGCCTTTTGATATTTTTAGCTAATGTTTTTTAACTTTTAGCCATGCTTAATCTGTTTTTAGTTAGATTTTTCTACTTTAAGCTTTAAACTAGTCTTTTATGCTAGCTTTTAGCTTGAAGTTTGCTACTTTCACATTTAGCTGTCTTTAGCTAACTTTTTACTAATATTAGCCGGCCTTTTGATATTTTTAGCTAATGTTTTTTAACTTTTAGCCATGCTTAATCTGTTTTTAGTTAGATTTTTCTACTTTAAGCTTTAAACTAGTCTTTTGTTAGGCTAGCTTTTAGCTTGAAGTTTGCTACTTTAACATTTAGCTGTCTTTAGCTAACTTTTTACTAATATTAGCTGGCCTTTTGATGTTTTTTAGCTAGTGTTTTTTAACTTTTAGCCATGCTTAATCTGTTTTTAGTTAGATTTTCCTACTTTAAGCTTTAAACTAGTCTTTTGTTATGCTAGCTTTTAGCTTGAAGTTTGCTACTTTAACATTTAGCTGTCTCTAGCTATTTTTTTCCTAATATTATCTGACCTTTTGATGTTTTTTTAGCTAGTGTTTTTTCATTTTGCTGTTACCCAGCCTTTAGCTGCTTTTAGTTAGATTTTTCTACATTTAGTTTTAAGCTAGTTTTGTTATATTAACCTTTAGCATTTTTTTTATATTCCCTTTTGGTTATTTTAGCTACTGTTTTTCTGCATGTAGCTTTTGGCTAGCTTTTTAATAACAATTTAACTTATCCTTTTAACACATTTTAGCTAACCCAGTGTTGCTGTTTGCTAGTGTCTTATTACTTTCATTAGTTTTAGCTAGATTTTCTTCTTTTAGCTTTAAAGTAGCAGAGTTTGCATTTTGCTGTTTTAGCTCACTGTTCTGCACTATTAGCTGGCCGTTCTAAGATTTTTGGCTAATGTTTTTTAACTTTTAGCCATCCTTCATGTGCTTTTAGTTAGATTTTTCTACATTTAGTTTTTGAGCTTTTGTTATATTAACTTTTAGCTAGCATTTTTTTATATTCCCTTTTGGTTATTTTAGCTTCTGTTTTTCTGCATGTAGCTTTTGGCTAGCTTTTTAATAACAATTTAACTTATCCTTTTAACACATTTTAGCTAACCCAGTGTTGCTGTTTGCTAGTGTCTTATTACTTTCATTAGTTTTAGCTAGATTTTCTTCTTTTAGCTTTAAAGTAGCAGAGTTTGCATTTAGCTGTTTTAGCTCACTGTTCTGCACTATTAGCTGGCCGTTCTAAGATTTTTGGCTAATGTTTTTTAACTTTTAGCCATCCTTCATGTGCTTTTAGTTAGATTTTTATTAGACTTTAAGCTTTAAACAAGTCTTTTGTTATGCTAGCTTTTAGCCTGAAGTTTGCTACTTTTACATTTGTCTATCTTTAGCTAACCTTTTACTAATATTAGCTGGTCTTTTGATGTTTTTTAGCTAGTGTTTTTTAACTTTTAGCCATCCTTCATCTGTTTTTAGTTAGATTTTTCTACTTTAAGCTATAAACTAGTCTTTTATGCTAGCTTTTAGCTTGAAGTTTGCTACTTTCACATTTAGCTGTCTTTAGCTAACTTTTTACTAATATTAGCTGGCCTTTTGATGTTTTTTAGCTAGTGTTTTTTCATTTTGCTGTTACCCAGCCTTTAGCTGCTTTTAAT